TTGGAACTGCCGCAGCAGTAGCCGTTGCAACACCAATAGTACTTACTGCTGTCGGCTTTACAACGACCGGTATTGCTGCTGGGTCATTTGCTGCGACAATGATGTCATATTCCGCCACCGCCAGTGGGGGAGGTGTGGTCGCAGGGGGTTTGGTCGCTACGCTCCAAGCTGCTGGAGCAGCCGGTTATGTGGCACCCACTGTTGCAGGCAGGCGCGGATCCAGGGGGGGCCGAGCGGGCCTTGGCCCCCCCCCCCCCCCCCCCCCCCCCGCAAGAAAAAAAAAAAGAAAAAAAAAGAGAGAAGAAAGGAAAAGAAGGGAAAGGGAAAGAGGAGAGAAAGGGAAAGAAAGAAGAAGAAGAAGAAGAAAAGAAAAGGGGGAAGAAGGAAATCGGGGGGGGGGACCGAAAGGGCCTTGCCTCCCAGGCTGTTGACCCCCCCCCCCCCCCCAATTAAAAAAATAGGAGAGAAGGAAGGAAAGGGAAAGAATAAAGGAAAAGAGGAGATACTGGCGTACTATTAGGGGGGGGGGGGGGCTTTGGAGAAATCAAATTCAAACGTGGTTTATTTCTAATTCCACAACGGCGGATTACAAATAATGCTGAAATGACATAATTTCCCAGATTTGTCCTCATTTTTTAGTAAATTATACGTTTGTACATGTGTTTGTTGGAAAATGACAAATTCCTAAATTTACAGCCAGGCACGAAATATGATTCTTGAGATTCCTACATGTCAGGGCCCGAGGTACGGCAGGGATCGGGAGCCTCGAGCTCCCTCCCCCCCCCCCCCCATTTTATTTGAAAAAGTATATTAAAGAGAAAAAAAATAGAATGAGAGCAAGAAAGAAGGAATAGTTAACTGCCAGTGTCACAAAATAATAGGTATTAAAAAAATATATGATCATCTGACTTTAATTAAACGCCTAAACCCCTGAGCTTCCGGGGCCGGACAGGTTATCAAAATGTGTTTATCTGACCGCAGGCGCGTAGCCAGGGGGGGGGGGGGCGGTCCCCCCAAATCGGAAGAGGACGTAGGAAGTAAAAGGAGCAGACAAAGAACATCTTTGAAATTCAGACAAGGATTAAGAGTATAGAGAACAGTACAACGCATCGTCTTCTTTCTCTAATAATTTAATGAAACGTCAAAGCTTCGCGCAAGAGGGGGGGGGGGACTGAATTTAGACGAGGATTAAGAGTCGAGAACGGTACAACGAATCGTCTTCTTTCTTTAATAGTATAATGAAACGTCAAAGCTTCCCCGCTTCGCGCAGGAGGGGGAGGGGGGCTGAATTTAGACGAGGATTAAGAGTCGAGAACGGTACAACGAATCGTCTTCTTTCTCTAATAATTTAATGAAACGTCAAAGCTTCCGCGTTTCGTAGAGGAGGGTGGGGACAACTCGCCCCTCCACCGACCCCCCCCCCCCGCATTACGTCACTGATGGTCACCATTACGTACCAATATAATTTCAAATTTGGGCCCCCCCTAAGAAATCCTGGATCCGCGCCTGGTTGCAGGCATGGCTGTTGTCGTTGCAAAGGCTGTTTATTATTATTATTATTATTCTAAAGATTAGAATTGTTGATGTACCATACTTCCATAGGTCGCCCTTGGCTTAATCTTAGTTAATCAAACCGTAATTTTAGTCAATTCAATTTAATTTTGCATACTATACCCTATGTCATTATTTTCCCGTTGTACCTTAATCTTAAATGTGAATCTGTCATGCAGCTATATCTCCATGTTAAAAAAATTACTGTTCGGACTGTCGATCACAAGGTCCGCGGTTCGAGACCCGCCGCGGGACTAATGTCCGTTGGCAAGACATTGATCTACATTTGCCACACTCAACCCAGGTGATGTAAATGGGTACCTGGCAGGAATTAATTCCTTGAAGTGCTAGAGCGCCGTATAATGGCCCCGCCCCCCCCCCCCAACAAATTTATAACATGTAGAGTATATAAAAGGAACAGTAATAAGGAACAAGTTCATATAATGCATTTTAGTGAAATAGAAAGACGAGGATACCTTAAAAAAAGCTAAGCTTGTAAAAGTCAGGTCCCACAAAGCAATATCATATAAATATAGAATAAAATTAATACAAGAAATTTTCATCAAAAGTGCGATAAACTGAATCATAAAAAAAAAGGTGGAGAGAAGAGACTAATTGTAAAAAAGGAGGCAATAAGAGTGATAAAAACATGGGATATACATATAGAAATGGAAAGAGGGCGTGGGAGGGACTCGAGGGAGAGAGAGGGGGAGGGGGGGGGGGGAAGAAAAAGGACATATTTTCACTGAAAGTATGTCCCTCCCCTCTCTTCTCTCTGATGGTTTCAGAAAAAAAGAAAACTGTATATACTCAACTGTATTAATATAGCGTCAATTTGAGGTCCTAAGCGATTTATAAGAAGCCACCATAATTATATTATTATTATTATTTATTATCAATTATTTTTCATTATTATCATTATTATTTTGGAAATCATCAATGAAATAATTTTGAATTTAGGGATTGCATGATTATATAATTTTCATTTTGCATGGTACAGACACTCGGACTTTAGTTAATTACATAAAGACAAAGCCCCGAAATGTCGAGAGAGGGACAAATAGACAGAAATTCTCAGACAAGCAAAAACATGTATAATTAGCACATCGTAACTCTAGATTTATGCCAGATTTGATTTGGATGGGGGAAAGAATGCAGGCCCCTGCTCTTGAATCCTCCTGTAGTTGAACGAGATACATTTTGAAAGCAATCAAGGCTTTTAGATATTCCTCTTTCATTATTCCATAATTAGAGTGCACAATATTATTGTTAAATGAAACTTAAGTGCTTCCATTAATTTTTAATACAATACTTGTGTTCAACCCAACTTCATTTTGAAGTGATATCGTAGTCCTAAGTTACTCCTTTTATCATGCATGACGACTAATAAATTTTAGAGTAGAAGAAAACAAAATTGACTTGATGATGTTCCTTATGTTGTTGTTGTTGTTGTGTTTTGGTTTATTGGCGATTAGTCAGTAATTTGACTATTGTCACCAAAATACTTTACGGCACGTGTTATATCTCTCATTTTTGTATTAAAAAACAATATATATATTTATTTCGTTTTATATTTATCTATCTTTTAAGATAGTATCGAAACATAATATCGTAAGCAAAACATTCATGGGCTTTGTTAGTGTTTCTTAACACTAACGTAGCCCCAATGTATTGGGGCTATGGTGTATATGAAGGGAAAACACACCAAACAAATTTCTGCATTGTGTTTTTTAAGATCGCGGAGAAGATCAAAGAATTTGAGAAAAATATTGTTGAATATGTTAAGTATTGGCTGAGATATGACCATCTAAATAAATAGATTGCCTATGGGAACTCAGTGTTATCTGGTTCATAACATTATGAACCAGAGCAATATAACACTGAGTTCCCATATGCAATCTATTTATTCAGATGGTCATATCTCAGCCAATATTTAACATATTCAATTGAGAAATTGAGAAATTCAAAAAATACTTGTTTGGTGACGTCACACTTCACCACTCTATAGGGTGACTTATGTCAACATTTATTTTAAATAGTGCGGTGTATGTATGGTCTCATACTTCATCCTCAAATGGCGCTGGAATGAACTTATTTGCTCTGAAAACATTTGCCTCTATGTCTGATTCCCTCACCCCCTTCTCTCTCTCTCTTTCTCTCTCCCCCCTCTCTCTCTCTCTTTCTCTCTCTCTCTTTCTCTCATGCTGTCTGCAACTAATTATCTTTTCGACCCCTATGTCATGAGGGCATGACCTATGCAGTATATATATATTTTTAATAAATATCTACTGTGCGACAAAAAGACCCATTTAAGATGAGGAAAGAGAGGGGGTGATGGAGAGAGAGAGAGAGAGAGAGAGAGAGAGAGAGAGAGAGAGAAAGAGGGGGATATTTGGGGCTACTTAACAATACGTTAGGGATGTCGCAATTAGCAAGGCGAAAATTGATCAAGAGAGAGAAAGACAGACAGAGATAGAGGTACAGAGTTAGAGAGAGGGGTAGGAAGGGGAGAGCGAGAAAGAGAGAGGGGAGACAGAGAGCTGTGTATACAAATGGATATCACTCACAACTAAATATCAAATAACAAAAACTATTTTCTCTCTTTTTCTTCAATCTAATAATTTCATTTGGCACATATTATAGCATCGTTGTTTTTCATATAAACTGTTAACAGAGAAAAAAGCACAATAAATGCATTTAATATTGTTCTACCAACATGCACGTGAGAAAGATACAAAAGAATACGTTTCTGTTGAGTTGACTTGAATCCATTCCAAATTACTGAAATACACTCCTAGGTAGAGGATGAATTATTCTTATTGAGAGTTGATTACACTATATATGGAATTCACTCTGAATAATCCCTATGACTAGCCCAAAATCCCATTCACACTGCTGACGTGTAGAAGGCTAGATCAGATCCCGGAAGGCGTTTCACAAAGCCTTTTTCCAATGACAAATGACAAAAATCAGTGACAACTTTGCTGATAACCAATCAGAAGCACGTATTTCATTATAGCTTATAACAAAAACTGTCTTTTTCACTGATGACAAGTTTCGTGAAACGCCCCCTGGTCGATTGAAAATATTTACCTTTGAGTGCATGCGCGCGCTCACTAACCAATCTTACCCCCCCCCCCCCCCCCCCCCCCCCAGAAAAAACCCTCAACGCTAAACCGGAGACAGTCCTTGCCTCTCATTCTCTTCGAAGGGTGTATTTTGGAGGATCGCGCGATCTGTGCGGGATGCGTGTAAGAGATAAGGACATAGATGAGGCCTTAAAAATCTTGAAATCTTGAAATCTACGGTCGGCCGTTAAAGAAAAAAAAACCGGGAAAAAAAAAAACCGTTTTTTTTTTAAGAAAAAAAAAAATGAACTAAAGCATTACAAATTGAGAAATATCAGCCCAAAGAGGGAGTACAAAAAAAAAAAAAAAGATATCCGACCGACCGACCCATGTTTTAACATCTAAAGGACAATACAACATCTTTTTTTTGTAGGCCTGATTGAAGAATAAAACAGGACAGAATCTTAGGCGTACGAATAAAGAACAGTCCGGGCAGTGGACTAGCAGAGGGGCTAGATCGAGGTAGAGGTGTCGTAGTCGAGTGTTTTAATCACCTGACAGGTAATGCGGAGGTCGTGTGTTCAAACCCTGTTACTACACTTATGTCCTTGAGCAAGGCATTTGATCTACATTGCTCCTTACCACCCAGGGGGGGGGGGGCGTTTCACAAAGCCTTTTTTTCAATGAAAAATGACAAAAGTCAATGACAAATCTCCTGATAACCTATCAGAAGCAAGGATTTCAGTAGCTTTTAAGAAAAACACCCCCTTGGTTTTAAATTGGTACCCGGTAGGATGTGGACGTCAATGTGATTGGATAAGCAGATGCGTGCGCAGCCTAAGGAGCATGGGAGTGGAGAATGTGCACTGTTAGGTGCATAATAGTAATTGAATCTAGTGACAGGGGTTATATAACAAAACTGTTAGCTCTTTGGTTATTTGTAATTGGTAAAGCACTTTATTTTAAAACAAACACTTATTATAATAATTATTATTATAATCAAACTTATACCCAATACATGTACATACTTTACAGAATCCTCAGATCTTCCCAAAAAGTTTCTCCTTATTATCCCCCAAATAAGTACAAGGTTTTACCTCTCATGTGTTACGCTCCTTTTTGTTTTCAGCAGAGCTTTGGAATAAATTGACAGAATGTATCAAAAATTGTGAAACTTTTGACTACTTCATGATATAAACAAAAAACATGATTGATTAGCAGCCAATGGCTAAATTGTTCACATTTGACAAGCAAATTTGGAAAAATACAATAATTTCAATACTGAAAATGGTAAGAATATTATTATTATTATTATTAAACTTTTTATGCAAGAACGACGACCGGCGATTGACCTTCGTGCACCCAGACGATACCGAGATCTCGACGAGCTTTCTCCATCAACGTAGCAAGCAGTTCTGTCTCCTTCCAACTCACGAGGGCGTGCTCCTTTTTACCTAATACAAGAGAAGACAATGATCGACAAATATTAGTGACAATTCATTCAAAAACTCCTTTTTAAAATTCATTAAAGATTCATTCAGTAAAGGTATCGAGATCGTGTGGATACGTCTCCGGAATGTGGATCGAATGGTCCGCGGTTCGAGTCCCGCCGCGGTACTAATGTTATTTGGCAATACAAGTACATTTGTCACACTCGACCCGGGTGATGTAAGTGTGTAGCTGGCAGGAATTTATTCCTTGAAATGATGGAGTGCCATAATGGCAGCCATGCTAAAGCTGAGGTAATAATGTGGAGCGACAGGCGTTTCAAGCCTCCACATTTTCTGCGTGCTTGCTTCTCTCGCTCATTCATAACACTTAAAAACTCGACAGTAGATATTATGGGCACGATAAGATAATGATGACGAGAGAGAACTATTGCGGAATATAGAACAAGACAAGAAAAGAGGAGATTGGGAGAAGAGGTGGAAATAGAGAGAGAGAGAGGGAGAGAGAGAGATAGATCAACGGTGTGTCCAGACTAAGGGGGGAGGGGGGGGGGGGAGGGGTAATAATCCCTCAGACTAAGGGGGAGGGGTGGATAACATGGAAAACGTCTCTGCTTTGGATATTATAGCATAGCGCATGGTATACTCCAAGGCACACTTGGATGGAGAGAGAGACTTTAGATAAAATGCCTTGTAAATGAGCTATAGAGATTCGAACCCTAACCATTTTATTAAGAGTCAAGTGAATGAACCACTACACCGTGACACCTATACCTCATACCCCACTTTTTAATGTTATTTCACTTACATATTTGTATGCCAATCATGAATGTTTCTTTTAAAGGGGGTGTTGGATGGCAAATACTGGTTAGCGCCATCTACGACTTCTTTTGGACAAGTGCACGTAAACGAATGGACTTGATTCACGGTCAGAGCGCTAGCGTTCGCGAAACAGACCGAAGTTCTCCTCACGCTTCGGTTTCGCGTATGTTGCACGCACGTGAAAACTGCGGTCGCGTAGTCCGATTGGCCCCGAGTCAGGCCACGGGAAAGACAAGTGGTCTCGTCATGCTACCCCCTTTAACTATAACCTACCTTCTTGAATCGCCTGTTTCACTGCATCGGCCTCATAGAGCATACCGGACCACAGCGGACCCAAGGAATATTCCGCCGAGGATTCAGGCGTAGGGAAGTTGAACGTCTCGATGGGCTCTCCGTTGGGGCTCGACCAGATTAGATCCGTGGGGGCCCAGAAATGATCCGGAATCTAAATGAGAGAGAGAGAGAGAGAGAGAGAGAGACAGAGTGGGAGGGGATGGTAGATGGGGGTAAGGGAGAGAGAAAGAGAAATAGAGGAGAGGGGGAAGAGCAGGAGGGTGTTAGAGGAGGAGGAGGGGGGGGGGGGTAGGGGGTAGAGAGCAGAGAAAGAGATTAATTAAATATGAAAATATCACGCCTTTGCAAACATTGTAAAATGAGAAGGAGACTACAAGATCCCCACCCTACTCTTATGATATCCAGACGATAGAAAAACAAAATATTGTACAAAATAATACAGATTAAATATAGCTATCCGATAAATTTTGTTAGTGTGAAATGGTTCTTACTCTTAGGCGACCTTTGGTTCCGACAATGACTACTTCATTTGGGTAATCAGCTTTGTAGGTGCATGCAAGCGTTGCCATGGCTTTGTTAGGGAACTTCATCACCGTCGTGTACATCTCATCAACTCCTGATGGTAGAAAAGAAGAACAACAAAACCGGATGAAAGAGAATGTTACACATTAATTTTCTTAATTGTTTTATTGATGATTAATATTAAAAGACTATTCTTCTTTTTCATTGATCCCCTTTGTTCTTGCATGGTTTTACTTCTTATTCAGCATTTTCTAATCTTTATTTCAATTTTCATGTCTCTTCAATTACAAATATATTTGACCGGAAAACTATTGCATACTGGGACTCTTTATCACCTTCTTTACTTTAAAGCCGCACTGCACTACTTATAGCTACTTGCGCCATCTATGTACCAAACAATGCCTTATCGCCTTATCGGTGACCATCGGTACCCCGTGATCCCATTTTTCTTATGTTAATTGAGAGCTGAGTTTATGAGATAGCCACCTGTCAGTGATCACAGATGGACTTTAAAATCCTGACGTATATCCAAGGCTCAAGTGCAATAGCATTTCCAAAAGTATTATTTCGTTATTTCACGTGACTACCAAGTCTGACCTTTTTTACTCCCCCCCCCCCCCCCTCTCTCTCTCTCTCTCAATATCGTTCACTGGCATTCTCTCTCTCTCTCACTTATTTTAGACCACGAGACATAATGACAATGAAGACCGACGACGACGATGATGAAATATATCAGAATAATATCATGGTAATACTAACCATTTTCATTGAGGAATCCGTGCGTATGCGACGATGTCGGTCCTTCCCCGAAGACCATGGTCGTCATTTGGACCATGTAGATTCCCATGTCATAGAGGGCGCCCCCACCCATTTCTACAAAAACAACAGCACACAAATTAATCATGCAGTTGCACACGAGATGCCCCTTGCCTGAACTCCGCGTTCAGACTACCGTAACTCATCATATCGTCAGATGAAAATCGTATAGATAATCATTGTTATTTTTTTTGTTTTTGTTATATAGTCTGAACATCGTTAAAGAATGGCCCTTTAACGGAACGTTGCATAACGATCAACATTTTTACAACGTAAGTAATTTTTTTCTTAAACAATGAACTATCATAATGTAAATTACATAGATTATGAAGTCCCTTGAGAGACCAATGGTGAGAGCAACCACTGGCCTAATTGGCCTGCCATAGTCTTAGTTCTTAATTTTTGTGAAACACCCCCACCCCCCCCCCCCCCCCCCCCCATTTTAAAACTTTAATCAAGTATAATTCCTTGCCTCTTTTGACTGTTCTCTCTCTGTCGGGTAAATCAAGACCAAAGTTGAGAAGCATTGATTTTACGTCACCAAGTTTCCCGGATGAGACGAGTTCCCGGATCTTAGCGCTGACTGGAAAGAAACGGGTCCACACAGCCTAGGCAAAAATGTGTGAATATTAGCTATAATTGAGACAAATTATTGTATAATGTACAGAGAAAGAGAGAGAGAGAGAGAGAGAGATAGAGAGAGAGAAAGAGAGACGTAGGCCTACATACAATAATTATGTTGAAATATACGTGTTTATTTTTTAATTAATATTGATTTGTATGAAGGGGTTTGAGCAGACCATAAAACAAGTCAAGGAATATAAGTTTTAAAACATTTCAGTATAAACATTTATAAAAAAAAAGGGCATAATTCATTTTGTTATAATACTACTACTACTTAAATGAAAATGATGACGATGATAATAATAATGATAATAACAAAAACACCACCACCAACAATAATAGCTGTATAATGACGGCTAAGAGTCACTTACTTCCATGAAGAAGACATTACTTTCTTTGGCCGTCTTCAAGACATCTTGAGTTTCGTGCAGAGTGAGTGCCAGCGGTTTTTCACATAACACATTCTTCTTGTTGGTAAGAAATAACTTGCTCAGTCTGGGATGTTCGGTGTTAATAGCCCCGATGTAGACAATGTCTGAGAGATAGAGCGAGAGAGAGAGAGAGAGAGAGAGAGAGAGAGAGATGGTTTGGTTACAGAGAGAGAGTGAGAGAGAGAGAGAGAGAGAGAGAAAGGGGGGGTCGAACTCGTTTCTAAATGACTCCTTTGCTTTGGTACAAGAACTTCTCTGCCATGATTACGGTTCTAGAGAAGGGCTTGGGGATTCAAGCCCCTACCCCCCCCCCCCCAACAAAAATAAGCCCCCCTTTAAAAACGATTATAAATTACTTTAAGCGAGTCACATTAAGAAAATGAAAACAGAACCCCCCCCCCCCTTCCTCTCAAACAACTGTAGTACCGTGCCTGCAACTTGCTTGCGCAAATGGTGGTGCGTGATTGTGGTGGCGCCAGGTTTACAAGAGGAGCAATTTCGGGGCTTTAACTTGAGCCCCCTCTCCCCTGGCAAGAGAAGCTAGGATCCGCCACTGATTACCTCTTATACAACCTCTTTTTGCAGAGAGAGAGAGATAGAGAGAGAGAGAGAGAGAGAGAGAGAGAGAGAGAGATTGGTTGTGTTACATGGGCATAATATCTCAACAATTGTTATTCCTTATCAAATTACACATTAAAACAAATTATGATTTAGTGACAGGGCAACTTTAGGTCGCTACTTTCAAAGTTCAGCCTCGCTCTTGGTGATGGCATAATGTCGAAGTAATGCCGTAATTAAAAGATAAGGCCGTCAATGAACTTTGGTCATGCGTTATCACCACAATACTTTACACATTAAACATTAAAAGCTCGTACCATGGACTTACTTCTTGTACAGACGACGGGGTACAGACATGACGCGGCAAAAAATGAGGCAGTTTTTTAAAATAATAACGGTTCAAGACAGTGTAATACCTTCATATTTCTGTATCTTATAAAACACAGCTCAGTGCACAAGTCATTTCGTAGCGCACAGTTGCCACCCCCGGCACAAAACTTATTTAGTTTCATGTCTCAATTTCTACGTTTATTCAACATTTTGATAATGACATTATGACATACATAGGCTCAGTAGAATAGGCAAACATGGAATACATGTGCACATTGAAATAAAGTTATATATTGATAAAAGCAACTAAGAATGACGAGGAGACCTTGGAAAAGGCTTAGCTTGTAAAGGTAGGGTCCCACAATTAGAACAATAAACACAATATTTAATAATTGGTTTAAAACTCTAGAGCTAACTGTTAACATGGTTATTACTAACAAAAAGGGATTACTATACAGAGCATGTTTAACGAATAATATTGGTTAAATAATGTGGAACTAACTAAAAACATGATTATATTTTGAACTATAGGAAAAATGGAAAGGTACAATGAGACAAGAAGAATCATATATACTTTATAGAAATGGAAAGAGAGAGAGAGAGAGAGAGAGAAGGGGGGGGGGCTGGAGAAAGAATGATAGGCTTTAAATAAAAGACACGACCCCCTTTAAGAACTCCCTCCCTCATTGCCAAGCAGTAATACCGGTGCATGCCTCTAAACACCCCCCCCCCCTCCTCCTCCTCCCTTATTTCTTTAACGCAAATGCTCCTGGGTCTAATTGTCGCATCCGGCATGGAATGAACGGAACATTCTACTCACCTACATTAGGATCCCGAGCAAGCTCTTCATAGCTACCATAGGCGGTGGGAATCTTGAATTTGGTCGCAAACTTCTGCGCTCTCTCCAATGAACGAGTTGCGATCGCGACGATGGGATGGTTGTCGGAGTGACCTTGTAAGCTGGCGACGAAGTCGTGTGAGATTTCCCCTCCTGTACAGATACCCCAACGTAGAGGCGCCATTATTATTATATCTGGTTATGTATGATAATACTGCTTCCGTGAGCAAATACGCTTCCCGCTTCTTGAAGTAGCTGAGCTAGTCATGAATTATGAATTATGAGTGTATCTCTCCCGGGGTATCTCTCAAATATAGTTAAGACGTAACCTCGATCGACCAAGACACCATATACGTATAGTACGAGGTGTCCGGCGCGCGCGTGAGCGCGGCAGGAGAGTGCTACGTATAACTATATAATATAGCAGTAAGATATGATATATACATAATTATATAGCTCTAATAGAGCTGCTCTATGGATATATACATGACTATAAAGACTAGAGCGAGAGCGGCCTTTTCTAGTCTTGACACCAGCCTTGTGCTTTGCTTTGGAAAATCCAAAACTAGACTATACGATTATTTCCATGACTCAAGATTTCAATCATACAATGTTAAGCTCCTAATTTATACATAATAGAATTACTTCAACTCAAAGTCCAGTCACACCACGGTCACACAGTCGTAGCCTGCGCAGTTCTAGAGATAAATTATTGTACCAGATTCCCCTTGGAAAAACAGAGGTAACTCTAGGGGACCGTGCGTTTGCCATTGCCCCCCCCCCCAAAAAAAAATAAAAAAATAAATAAATAAATAAATAAAATAAATAAATAATAATAATAATAATAATAATAATAATAATAATAATAATAATAATTTAAAAATAAAAAATAAATTAAAAAAAAAAAAAAAAAACACACACACACACACAACACAAAACAAAACAAAACAAATTAATGAATAGCTTGCCAATAAAAATACGAAGCTCTCTATCTCAACTCCAAATTAAAAACATATTTGTTTAATTGAGAGATTCTATATGTTGTAGAATCGAGTTTTAAAAAAGGAGCTCTGAACCAGCGCAGCTGAATATATTTTGTATAAAAGCTGCGCTATAATAATGTTTTATTATTACAGTATTACTAATGTTCCTAAATTCTGTCCTCTGCTTAGTCGGAGATTTATTTCTCCCAAAGTCAAGATTATGATTAAAATTGAAAATATGTAAAAAGAAAGCAACTGCAGGAACCTGAATAATAAACAAATATTGTTATACGACATCAAAGATGAGCTTCGAGTCAATTTTCTATCTTTTATTTTTATTTCAATTATACATAATTTTGTCGTAGTATTGTAGCCGTATTGCTTTCATTCTGTTGTAAATTTACTCACTACAGTTCTAATATCATAGCTAGACTATTGGATTCCGGTGTGTTTTTTTTAATCCCTTTCTCATCTTACTCAGCAGCCGCTCTTAGATTACGTGTCAAATATAATGATAATGTGGTTGCTTATACGTACATAATAATTATGCTATCGCAACTCACAACTCGCAATTGATATAAATCGCAACTATGCACATAGAGATAGGAGACTGCAAACTTGCGATTGATTGGAGGACATGCGATTGATCTTGTAATCATAAAACACATTTTTGGTTTCAAGGCTACGTTAATTTTTGTAGAGCACAATCCTCATGTCAAGTTTTTTATAATAAATATTTGTTTATTTTCATTATTATCTATATGGCTTTGTTTTATATCATTAAGTGATTATTTTTGTTAATGTAAGGCTGAGTATAATTCAGTGTAGGTATTTCTTGGCTGGGAGACGGCGACCTTTGAATGATGAGCCTATCGGGCCCTGCCTCTAAAACTGTATAGGGGAAGGCACGCCCAGTCAAGTTATGATAATAATTTTGTTTTAATAAATATAATTATTTTCTGTATGATTTGTTCAATGATGTGATTATTATTTATTTGTATGCAAGGCTTAGTATTATTAATACTAGTCTAGGTAATTCCTGGCTGGGAAATGGTGACCTGTGAATGATGAGCCTACCGGGCCCTGCCCCTTAAACACTGAAGATGAACGACACGCCCAGTCAAGTTTTTTTTTGGTTGAAATTAACTATTATCATTATTATCGATATGGCTTTGTTCAATGAGGTGATTTTTCTTATTAATGTAAGGCTTAGTATAATTATAACTATAGTGAAGGCAGGCACGACCGCAGGGGGGGGGGGTCGAAACTCCAGAGCTTACGGGGGCTTCGCCCCCTGGACCCCACCAAGGGCCCTAAGGCGGGCCCTTGAATGCTCATCTGACCGTAATGAAATACCTAAAACCCCTGAGCTTCTGGGGGCTCTGCCCCCTGGACCTCACCAAGGGCCATAAGGCGGGCCCCTGGATTCACATCTGACCGTAATTAAATGCCTAAAACCCCTAAGCTTCATGGGGCTCCAGAATGGTGTCGAATTCCCATGAGAGCCCAATACGATGCGTTGTTTCAGTCTCGCCGATGAGATTTGGCATAAAACCCCACCAGGAGTTTTTTCCTACTCTTTATAAGATCTATATTGGTCACAATGCGAACCCATAAGTCTTACATTCTTTTGTTCGCTCGTTTAACTCGCTCAAAAATGAATAAGTTAAGACCATTACACCCAGTGGTGTCGATTTGTATCCGCGGTTGGGGGGGGGGGGAGGGGTGATAGGTGCCAAAATATTTTCGGCAATGGATCAAAGCAACTAAGAGGTAGAAGCGTGTGGCAGGTTGCACCTCCTTTCCAAGTTATTAACTTTTTCAAGTCACCCTCAATAAAGATAACATTTCAGAGAATATAAGAGTGGTAATAAAATTAATAACATGCTAAATATTAGTCCTGACTCTTGCCTGCAGTGTAGGCCTATACCAGACTGATATCATCTATTTTTAAACGAAATTTAGACATTACCAAAAAAGAAATCCAATGGTGACGGATATCAACTTGTGGAAGTATTATGTTACCAGTGGGCAAATGCATTAATAAGCAACCAGGAAAGGTTCATGTAGACAGATAATTCTTTTATTCCCGGAGATAGAAACATACATTTTATGAATATTGATGTCTCCAAACAACATTCATCGTGAAAAACCCATTCCAATATTCTGTGTAAGTAGATCTCAAAAAAACATAGTTCTCATTAGTAAATGAAAAACATATTGCTTTTGGTTCTTCATTTGACTCTCTTCCTTCTTTAATTAAACCATCTGAATCCTCTCTGCGGGAAACTCAATTCAATGAAACAAAATATCACTGATGCAAAATTTGGTTCTAAAAATGACAGAAAATGTCCACTCCTGATCTCATACAAACTGTCTGTTTATTAAAAACACATTATAAAACTTATGTTCCAACTACCAAACAACAAACTTCCATTATCTAAAATATAAATAAATAAAATAAATAAATAATAGTGAACATTTATAATGCGTCATGTCTGTCAAAAATGACACTCCTGGCGCAGTTGTGTGGAAGTTGTATTGTGGGCAAGAATTCAAGAAAGAAAGTAAATACATTAAGTTACAGTTTAACATAAGCATAATATTCCCCTAAGGCCCTGACCAGAGCACAATTTTTTCTTCAAAAACTATAACCAGTCTTAGAAGGTGCATTATTATTTGAAAGGTGTTATAAACAAAACTTCAAACTTAATAACATAACATTCTAACCTTCAAAAACACCTTAACTATCTTATGCCTGTTACGTTTGAATACAATAACTAGGCCTACATCAGCTTTTCAATAAAACTGAAATAATTTGTGACATAATAATCTTTCTCCAAAATATCAAGCTGGAGTATTCTGTTGTATTGCTTGTTTATGTACATACAAAGAGGCACTAGATCCATGCGTCTAACTTAAGAAAGAACTCTTTGTTTAACCGATTTTGTTCAGGTGTCTATGGAAAATTGTATTATGTCCATAATGATGCATTTGTGAATAAGAGCACTTTTTTTTTGGTCCCAAAATGTGATAATTTGGCCGATAGATATTGGGGGGGGGGGTAAGGTCTGCTCTTTTGGGTCACCAGTTACCAAAAAAAAACAACCCAAGGGGTCATACAGTCATATGGGTAGAATATGAATTTTCCCATACAAATTATAGGTAATTATAGGTAATCTGGGTTAACCCACATGGGATATAATTATCTGGGTTAACCAATATGGGTACCAGATGGGATTAAGCTGGGCATACCCATTTGGGTCCAGTCTGGTATGGGTCCCATCTGTCTTATATGGGTTTACCCATATGGGTCCCATATGTTTGGGTGCAGATGCCTTCAGAGAATATTTGACCAATGTGGGCCCCACATGGGCTTGCTACCCGGGTTATTATCCTCTCTGTCTCTCATTATCTCTCTCTCCCCCCCCCCCCCCCCCCCTATCAGTGTTATTTAGGGTACGCATGATTATGCGTGTTCCCTCTTTTTGAAAACACCCCCTAAGTCTGGTGTGTAAAGTCAATTTGTGTGTACTACGAGCCGGACTTTGGTGAGTGAAAAATACCCCTTTACCAGACATTTTGGTAACACGCATGCGGTCATTCCGACCCCGGAGTGGGGGGGGGGGGGGGGGGGGCTCGATCTCCCACTCTCTACTTCTTTTTTTTGCACTTTTGCGATTCGCGCTTAACATTAAGCTCGTTGCTTTTTAATGCTGCGGCTTTGTATTTGGCGCACTGCATTTCTGTGATGCAGTTGATTGAATAAATTGAATAAATTCATCAATTTCAATTTTTGCAGCCGTATGAGCGAGAATTCAATTTATTCTTGTCTCATATACGGTTGTCTCATTTATGTATCTATTTTGAAAATGAGATAGCAAAATGTATATATTGATGGTCATCTTGCGAGCAGAGGCGGCCCTCCCGGGGGGCAGGGGGGGGGGCACAGTGCCCCCCCACTTTTTCAGATACCCCAAAGTGCCCCTTTTTACATAGGAAAAGTGCCCCTTTTATTTTGTAAGAAGTGCCCCTTTTACTTTGACAAGTGCCCCTATTACTTAGTAAACGTGCCCCTTCCCCCTTTTCACCTCTGACGAGTGCCCTTTTTATTTTTGACACGTGCCCCTTTTCCTTCGATATGTTCCCATTTTCCTTTGCAATAAGTGTCCATTTTCCATTCTCATAAATCTTGAAATTATCTTGAATAAGTGCCATTTTTAATCTCTAGTAAGTGCCTTTTTTCAGGTACGAGAAGTGCCCCTTTTCACTTTTGATAGGTTCCCCCTCACCTCTGATAATTGCCCTATTCAAAACTGAGAGGTGCTCCTTTTACTTTGACAACAAATACACATTTTCCTTTATTATAAGTGCCCCTTTTACATTTTCATAAGTGCCCCTTTTCATATCTGGTCAGTGTCCCTTTTCACCTCGGATAATTGCCCTTTTAATAATGATACGTGCCCCTTTTCCTTTCTAATAAGGGACCTATCCCCTTTTCACCTCTTATAAATGCCCTTATCAAAATCTGATGGGTGCCCCCATTCCGTCAACAAATCATACAAATGCCTATTTCCCATTTTCTTTTTCATCTCTTTAATATAATTATCTTTTGTACTTTGACACGTGCTCCTTTTCTTTTCTAATAAGTGTCTTATCCCTTTCGATAATTGCCCCCATTTCATGTAATCATTAAACGTGCCCCTTATTTAAAGCGACTAAGAGCAATTTTCCTCCAAAGTTCGCTCGCTGCGCTCGCTCGCATGTAAAGATGATATAATTATGTTACTTATCACAGGTCTTTTCAGTCTTCCGTTATGAGAATGTGCTTATAACCCCATCACGATTGGCTTTTTTCCTCTTTATAAGATGTAATTTTCGCACTGCTTCGCTCGCTCGTAAATGCATATTCAGACATCACACCCAACTGTACAGTATGATGCTTAAGCGATATCTTGTATGATGTATGAAGAGAAACAAAATGAAATCACCCCTGATAATGTAATCACACTGTAGGGGTATATACCAATGTCTAAAAAAAATGGTATATTTTCGCTTTGAGATTTCCCAATGTAGGTGCCCCTTTTTTTTCCAGAAAGTGCCCTTTTTTGTTGGTGCCCCCCCCCACTTTTGAAGTTGCTCGGCCGCCCCTGCTTGCGAGTAATAACCATTAACTACTCTCATCGGGCTCTCATCACTATTTTTCTCCTCATTTTTGTATGGTGAATTATTGGGGGGGGGGGGATGATTGTACAGGCCACCCCCACCTAAAATATTGGGGGATACATCCCCTACCCCCCCCCCCCGATCGACACCCATGATTACACCTACCATTCCTTGAAAATAATGCATGCATGGCCGTACAAAGGAATTTTTCCAGTTGTGTTGGGAACCGGGGGGGGGGGGGAATCCAATGAATTATTGATAACTCATTGCATTTTCTTTGTTTTTGTGTTTTTCTTTGTGGGAGCTGTCCCTACCCTATAGCCCCCCCCCCCCCGCTGCGTACAGTCATGATTCAGTGCCAAAGCAATGGCCTCGTAGCTGTGAGACCCCAGTATCAGAACCGTGTCGATGTGCTATATTAGTGCCCTTTTATGAGGCATTAATCCTCATACTGTCAGTTATGCAGACTTAAGGACGTATGTCCCCTAGTTGATAAGCATAAAAGTATACACATGGTTTAGCAGTCACGCCTAACAAACACTCGCAAATTATTATTCAATAAAATATGAGCATGTATACTAATAATTAGATCTATTATGAATAACTCATTGTCAAAATCATTTCATAAATTGGGAAAGAAAAACAAATATTCCCCCTTTATGACCAACAGTGGAGGCCTACTTGAGCTATGTACATGTATGAATATTTACTCCATAATTCTATGACAATCGGGCGAGCTCTTTGTTTTTTAGTACTGTTTTTGCTTTTATTTTTTTAAATTATGAATATTGTTTTATTAGTAGTATGTATGTTTTATATGATTTTAAATAATTTTCTTTCCGACCAAACCACTCTTTTTCCAATATAATAAACCTAGACTTTTTTATCAAAATATAAAGGATATAAAAACCACCATCAACTAATGGCATCTTGCTCTATAAGATATCCCCATGCACCCTGTGACATTCCTTTTGCTTTTTAATTTCACAAGTATAGAACTACTTGTAAGATGTTTTATTTTAATCATGTAACGTAATACAAACTCCCTCTAAGAAGCAGAAGAAGAAAGGAAGAAGGACGAAGAGGAAGAGAATAGGAATGAAGAAAAGGATAACGGTTGATCTCATCCCTCCCATCTATTAAGCCCTACAAATTTGCCCCAAAAAGGTTTACTCAAAAAGGAGTGAAGAGAATCGGAGAGGGTGAGCCTCATAAACAGGATCAGGCTGTTCGGAAGTTTTTTTTACGAAAGCCGACAAAAGATACAGTAGCCCATGAAGATGACAAAGTGGGCCCTCGCCCTATTATTTCGATGTTCTTTGAGTGACTCATTTTGCCGCTTTAGGTAGCACAATAAACACTTGTATTGTCCATAAAAGGTATGACACATCCTTCCAAACAAACGATTACTCAAAATTGTTTCTATTGTTTCATAACTCCTAATAAACAATAACGTAGCCTGAAAAAGAAAATCCTTTTTATTGATTATGCACTGTGTTTTGATGACGCACAAGAACAACAGACGCTTGCGGTACGTTGTAAAAGCTCCTACAGGTGCTTGTGCGATCATATCGGCCTTCTGATTGGCTGATGATTACTCATGTGATTCCGTCCAAAACAGGCGCGCCATTTTGACCGTGCTTTCCGTGCATAGAATGCATGCAGTATTACACGCACGCTAAATATGCACACATTACACATGCGCCGTATATCTCCAACGTGTAACGTGTTTTTATTTACATCATTTGCATTTTTGCGAAACGCCACCATCGCTGAATCAAATTAACGGGAAGTGAAGATTAATTTCATCAATATCTAACGGTTTTGCTCAATGAATGATGTCTTTAGCCGCACCAATGAATTCCTTATTTCATCGAGGTGTTCATGGATCGCCTTCCCAACGCCTTGATTTTGGCGATGCTCTCGGTTCAGAAGGCGAAAGTGACGCGAGTTTTGCAGCTTACTCCGATTTCAACGAAATACAGGAAGGAGCCATTGATCACAGTCCCATTTCAAGTTCATTTTCAGACGACCGTGATGATTCTCTTAACCTTACAGCAGAATGGGACCCCGCCTTGGCAACCCCTAAAAGCAGTCCATCAAGACGGCGTGTACAACGTAGACCAAATTCAAGACTCCATGATGGCGAAAATTCAATCGCATCGCCTCATTTTCGAAGGCCAAGCGACTCGAGTTGCAGTCCCTCTCCGATGGTATGCGCAAGCAGCCCCGCCTCCTCCGCTGGCGGGGGCGACGTCGTGGGATCTCCACCCCCACACAAGAGGCTGCGAAACCTCAAACTTTTCGATTCACCTCACACACCCAAATCGCTGATTCAAAAGGCAAATGCTAGTGCTAGACGAAACAAACTTCTAGCAAGTAGACTGTTCAGCGAAAAACCTGCTAGTTCTACTCCTACTGATCATGGCGATGGGCCTATTGCCTTTGGCATTGCGAGGCCGCACACGGCTCCGAACATGAGAAATTTACAGAGAAGAAGCACAAGAATACCCAAGACAAGACAGCAGAATGTAGCTAATGTCAACCCTTTCACTCCGTCAGCCATGCTGCAAAATGCGACCAAGAAAAGGCTTCGACAGGAGAGGTAATTATTAATGAGTATGAATATGAGAAAGTGGTGCTGGTGGGTCTCCAAGCTCTAATTTCCGTCCGAAAAAAATCTGCTCTCTCTAATTCTAAGTAAGAGAAACAGGCATCAATTAACAGAACAGTGAAAAAATACACTTGGCTCGGGGTAAATTATCCCCAGAAACGCTAAAAAGAGCCCAACAAAATTTGCACAGAGTTCAATGCAAAACAAATTAAAGAGTGTTATTTTCATGCAAGCAAGCTTGAAAAGTAGCTCCCCAAATATTTAGAGTATTTTTTTCCCTGGTGTTATAATAATTTTCATAATGTTACAGTTCTGTTATTGCCATGTTCATTGTTGGTTTGCTTATGTGGCATTCAGTCAATTTTAAAGTTTAACCAAACTTGCAATTGTTGCAGACTTAAACTGCTTAAACCAATGAACTCAGCTCAGTATAAACTTTGGTCTTGATAAAGTCTCTTCGGAGTCGGGCTAACTCAGACCCGGGGACAAGTTGGCCCCATGATTTACAGTTGGGCCGAATTGTCCTTGAGTCCGAGCTAGCCCGAAACGTCTCTTTGTGTACATGTAGATGTCGGTCAGCATGTAAACTAGAGTTTGGCTTTAAGTAAATCATTATTGGTTTAATTTATTGAAATGAATTTACCTCTGTTTCTTTATTGTTTTCCTTGAGTTTTCCCTGAAATTTTTTATTTTAGCAAAGACAAACAAAATATGTTGATTCTTAGCTTATCAGGCTTTATTGTATAGACCCCTATGGTAAATATTCTACGTAGATCATCTCCAAATCTCCATATTAAAAAAAAATAGTATGGGGGGGGGGGGGGGGGGGTAAATACATGTAGTATGCAGTATAGAACGCCAGAATTAAAAAGAAAATAACTCAGGCAGGGGTAGAACTTCACATCAATTAGAAAAGATCTGGACTAATTATAGCGAAAATGTAATGTTGAAGACCTTCAAAAATCAAAATCTTGACTACACCTTATCACTGAGAGTCTTCTTCTTCTGTTGAAGTACAGGCCACCATGTTGTTGGTGTATCTTCGTACGTTGGGGTTGTGCAGATAGATATGTACAGTCTGAGAGATATCCCAACCAAATAAGGAGTTGCATACAAGTAGCCTATGACCTTCATTATTATTCATAATTTATATGAGTATTGAATTTAAATCTCAAAGTTCAGTTCCTCTAAAAAAAAACTGGTTCTGACATAACAATAGGGTTAATGTATTCTGGAACCTACCGATTCCATTGTGTTATTATAACTACTAAGATAAGCCAGAAAGTATGAATCATTTGATAAAGCAAACATTAGTCTATTTAAATATTCTGACAATGCAAAGGTCAAAGGTTGCACCATGCAAAGGCTGCAGACTGGTACAGACAGGATTTCATGTCTGCACTCTTGTTTGCGAAACCTGCCGGTTATTTTTTTGAAAGAATACAAGTTCAAGTACTTACATTGTATGTCAACAGGTCACCTGCAATGTACAATTTTCATGAAATTCAAAAAGGTCACTGGCACTGCACAGCCTGGGCATAGAGACTGACAGTAGAAGTTTTCAGAATATTATTATTATTAGGCTTTGCAAGGCTTTTCTTTGTGAACTTCTGGATGTGATCACAATGAAAACTATTTGTGAGTATTGAGGCTGTTGTAAATCAATGAATGAATAAAGTCATAAACCTCTTCATTTCTGTGACAGAGACTTCTATTTCAAATTGATATCAAAGAAATATACTGGCATGGTATTAATGTGACATTTTTATGACTTCAGTGAACTCAATTAAAAAAATATTTTTGTTGTTGGTTGAATTAAAATTAAATGCAAATAGCCCATATACTGTAGTAATGTGAGCTCAGTTACAAAATAAGAGCTCTGTAAGTTCCATCTTTTTCAAACCAATCCTACCCCCCCCCCCTCAAAAAAGTAGTATATTCTTATTTGTATTTTTCTAAAGAGTAAAGGTACTGTTTTCGCTCTGTTCTTAGTGAAGTCCTATAATTGCATCGCTGAGGGGTATTCTGCAGTGAATTATCCAATTTATTTCCTAGTACTGAATTTATCCTGTGCAAACAAATTTTGGGATAATAGGGGAAACGATTTGTTATGTATCCAGTGGATCTTTTTGGAGACTTGTTAGAAAATCGATTTTTGTCATTCATTGCAAAAACAAATTTCAACCTTTTTCAAAGGAAACAAAAATGTGGTTATTATAAATGTAGTATTGCACATTAGGTGATCTTTCACTCAGTAGTAAGGGAAAGCCATTTTCAATGTAACACATACAGTACATGTACATGAACATTTCTGTAAATTGTAATACATTTATTATCTACTATGCTTTGATATTTGGCCTTGTCCACCTTCATGAATATTCACATTTTCAGTAATCATGAAAAACTACATCTTCTGATTAGTGATAAAGGACTGTGAGAATTGCTCCAGACTTTATTTTTTGTCAGAGGTTTGGATTGTGGTTGACTTGCAATTGTGTTTTAGGTTAGGGTAAGGTCTAGTGTTTGGTCAGTAAGTGTAGCCTCCTGTACTTTAGGTGAATTGACCATGGATCGATTGGCCCTGAACATGTGACCTACATGTACAACACCTCTGATTAATCTTCAACATTCAACTGTCATTTTATTCTTTCCTAAACAACAATAACAGTATCATGTCCATGTCAATCACATGCTATGTGTAGTTAAGCATATTGATTTCTATTTTTCTACCCACTCCTTGAAGGTCTCATCATAATTAGATTTAGCTTCTGAATCTATGTTGTACAGTGCACATTGTAAAATGCATAGAACACCTCCATTCTAATTGCGTTTTCTTAATTCCTTGTGCCCTTTTATGCCCATTTAAACCGAAGACCAATTTTGATCCTATTGTCACTAGACAAAAGAAAGCTATGACAAGGGCCTTTTCAGAGGTTTTTAGTTGGATTAAAAGAAGTTTTTGAAGTTCCCTAAGCTTCAAAGGACTTCATTTAGTGGACCCCTGTTTTTGTTATTTAATTACAATTGACCCATAGGCCTGGTTGATGTCTTTCATAGCCCAACACTTCGCCTAATCCCCCTTTTGAAATGTTTAAATGGCAGAGCCTTTTGTTAGCTTAATTGATGGGGGGCTATTGAAATGACCTTTGAGTCTGTGGCCTATGACTTGTTCTCACAACCCTTTGGAAACATCATCTGGTTATGATATTTGTACTGGTACTTATGAAATGTTGTTTGCCATCTAGGAAATATGTCCTGGGAGTCCTTGGATATGTGTGTGTAGAGAATTTTCACCCCCTCTCTTTCTTTCTCTCTCTCACTCTTTCTGTCTTTCTCTCTCTCTATTGAAATGCCTGCTACCTTTGACCTGTTCCCACAACCCATAGTAAACTCTGTCTACATATGGAGTTACAAAATTTGTACTGGTACTTTTTACATTATGCCCAAAAGAGCCCCCAAAAATTTGCATAGAGTTCAATGCAAAACAAATTAAAGAGTGTTATTTTCATGCAAGCAAGCAAAATTGCATTTTACGCCTTTCCATGATATCTATTCTATATGATTTTTCAGCATATTATTCATGCTATTCAAGAAAAAAGATTTTCATCCATATATAATTTGTCCATAATTATCAGTTGTCTTGAATTTTCTTCAGGTGACTACTTTAAGACTTTTCATTCAACCTTTTCTTCCTCTGTATTTTCTTTGACCAGGAGTATTCTAGATGATGATGAAGACTTGGATGATGACATGGATGGTAGTTATACAGAAAACCCAGCCAAGGTAAAAACAAAAATATTCCATATCTATTTCATTTCTGTTTTCGTCAAAGACAAACATTAATAATAATATTCCGCTTTTATATAGCGCCCAATACATCGATACAACGGTGTGTCTAAGCGCTTTACAGATATATTATTACTATTATTGTTTAGGGGTGATCTGATTTTAGCTCGGGGCGTTATTTTGTCAAAGAACATTAGGGCTTGGGTTTAAGTGGATTTGGGTTGGGGAAAGTGTTGGATACAGGGTTGAGGTTACACATAGCAATGTCAGATATTAACAATCAATTTACTGCAGGATAAACCATTCAGAATGAAATATAGCCATTTTCTCTCGACATACCATTCCCATACCAAAGCTCAAAATTATCTCCTTGAATGCTGTGAGCCCCAAAATAGGGAGCCAAGCAGAGCTCAAATAATATTTGAGCACCATGCGTTGTGGACGAGTGCTATGAAAATATCCATTATTGTTAGGGGTTCAAGGCATTAATCTTCATTTGCCACACTCGACTGAGGTGAGGTAAATGAATACCTGGCAGGAATTAATTCCTTGAAATGCTGGAGCGCTGTAATGGCGGCTAGGCTAAAGCTGGGGTAATAATGAATACATCGCTGAATAGAATTTCTAGATCGACGGCGCTATAGAAATGCCTATTGTTATTATTTATTATTATTTTTTCTCAATATTTTGCTTTCTTATGTTTTTCCGCAGAGGATAGCCCTACGAGACAGTGACATCTCTCGCTATGAGGCAGAGTTTGTCGAGGTCGGTAAGGTTGGTTCAGGGGAGTTTGGTTCCGTCTATAAGTGTATCAACAGGCTTGATGGATGCTTCTACGCCATCAAAAAATCAAAAAGGCCCATCGCTGGATCGGCTTTTGAGTGAGTACTTTTATTCTCTGCAACAAAGAACATCATATTCTCTTAGGTCTTCATCAGCTCCTACCTTTTTTGTTCCCAATTCTTGTAAGCGGGCTAGTTTGAAATCCTTTCAGTCCTTAGCCCCAAGTCTCTGGAACAAACTCCCCTCATTCTTAAGAAACAGTACAGTACTTAACTAGATTCCTTCAAAAAAACAACTGAAAGCATACCTGTACAACTCCTTTTAAATTTTTGATAGTCTAAGAGCCAGCGCCTTGTATCCTTTGGAAAAGGCGCTATAATATAAATCCAATTATTATTATTATTATTATTATTTCTTTATTGGAACCAAAGCTTGAGGTTGGATTTCAAAATAATATAAAAATACAAATAGATAACAATGGTAGAAATAATGTACACAAAGTCAAAGAAACTGTAACATTTGATACATAAATATATGAATATACAAATACAAACCTTTTAGCTACTTGTAACATGGCCATGATCCTTGTTCACACTTTGGCATTCCGAGTTGGTTGGGATGCTTCCATTGCTACAATCTGCCTATCAAAAGCTTGAAGGGGGATTGATTGATTTTTTTCCAATTGTTTGTCAATGGGGTAGTTTCATTATAAGTCCATTTCTGGACCTGGTTTTCCAGAGATTCCTGCATTAAAAGTAAACTGAATGCCCCTTTAATAAGCAAATGGTATTGAAGGACACCCAAAAGGACCCAAATGGAGTATAAAGGAGCCTAGTGAGCCATATAATGTTGTCAGATACTAACTATATGTCGTCTCCTCGTATTACAGACAAATGGCTCTGAATGAAGTGTATGCCCATGCAGTGCTAGGGACTCACATTCATGTGGTCAGGTACTACTCAGCTTGGTCCGAAGCAGGTCACATGATCATACAGAATGAATACTGTAATGGTAAGTGTATCTAACCCTTTAAGTTGGGACTTTGATCGGATCAGAAGATCGGAACGACACCCTGGCACCTTTGATCGGTATCGGCACAAAGCATAATTGGTTCAATTTATTTTTTTTTAATGCCAAAAAATTTCAAATTTTGAAGAAAAAGTTTTTAAAAAAATATGCATAGCTGGTCACATGATCATACAATTAAATCGAATACTGTAATGGTAGTAGGTCAAGATCATAGTCGTCAGTTGACATTTCATTGTAGGCTTTTTGCTTTTATCTTATATGTCACAAATGATTCCATCTGTTTTCTATCCTGAATTTAGGGAGGAGTATAGGAGACGCTGTCACATTTTTGTTGTTGACAATAGCATATGCTTCTTATGCCGATATCTTATATACAGTGACTTTGTGTGGTGATATAGCTCTGCAAGGCTCCCTAACAAGAAAAAATAAAACTAACAAAAGACTAGTATAGTAGATTAGTAGTCAATATTTGCAAATACAAAAAGAGCTCCAGGAATAGATTTTTTCCTTTGTGCTAGCAATGCTGATATCATATTTGTCCTATGTTTAATTGTTATATATTTTTTGTAACAGTTGTTGTGATACATTTTTTCTTTTTCCATCTTGTTCAATCTGTCTAATGTTCAGGAGGTAGTTTAGCAGACATCATCTCGTCAAACAAACAGAACAACCATAGGATGACAGAGATAGAACTCAAGCAGGTCCTGGTCCAGATAGCCCAAGGTCTTAAATACATCCACTCAGAGGGACTAGTCCACATGGATATCAAACCAGGTAAACAGTTCTTGGTCCAACTGAGCCAGGAAGGCAGTTCATGATCTAGCTACATTCAAACCTGCTTTAGTGACCACCTGTCTACAAGGACCACATTTTTTGTGTCCCTTGAAAATGGTTTCTCATTGAAACATGTACTAAAGGAATCTGTCTACAAAGACCACTTTTTGTGTTTCCCTTAGGCGGTCGGGTCGCTGTAAACAGGTTTGACTGTATTTGTGACGTGGCACCTTCAACTCGCAACAGGTGATAGACAGGGTTCCCACTGTCATTGAAAAGCAGGGAAAGTCATGGAAAAATAAATTCTTCTTGGAAGGTCATGGAAAATGAGCAAAAAAAATCTCCCCAAAACATGGAAAGTCATGGAAATGGTGTGGGCTATGTGTTGCTATGGCAGCCTTTCAGTTTGAACTGACAATAAGTGTGGTATTAATATGCTGCTTGGATACTGCATGGAAAAAAGAAAAGGGAAAAAAATAGGTCTGTAACCCTGGATAGAGTACAAAATTGGTAAAAAATGGGGAAAAAAAAATATTTGGAAGGATGATTTTCATGGTTGTATCATATTTGGAATCTGTTATAAATAATCCATATGGATTAAAGAGAAGGTTGAGTTCTGGGGAGAGGTGAAAAATAGTTTGTAACCATTTTCAATGTTCTAATGCAAATGTTGAAGAACATCAGATGAAAAATGTTCCCTGAAAAGCTAGGCTCTTCATATGCCTTCATATTCTATTTATGAATTGTAACAGCTGAAAATATGGGCCTCAGTTTATGCCACTTGTTTTTGTAGTCCCATATAAATCTTTCTGTGCATAGTGCTTGTTACTTTTACCAAAACTGGGCCAAATTTTTTATCATTTTGATGATTCCTGAACCTTGCAGTACACACCAATACTAATATGCTACATGATCAACTTTTTCTGATGGATTCCACTCCGTTTCTTTTACAATGCAATCGCATGACCAAAACTCAACTTTATCTTTAAGTTTGACAGATCTTGGTCTGAAGTTCTGTTATTTGTGACAAACCTGTAACAAAGTATATTTCATGTTCAAATGGTCCCATGTAATATTTCTACCATGTTTTGATGTGGTGCTTGTTATTTTTACAGGAAATATCTTCATCTCCAAGAAGGAGCCCCTCCCATCCACCACACCGGAGTCCGAGAAGATAGATGAGGAGGAGGAGGAAGGAGCCACGGAAGATAACACCCCACTCGCATCACTTATTTATAAAATTGGTAAGTTTAGGCTCATTCAGATATGTCGTAGTAAGCCACCGCAACAAAAAAAATTGTTGGTGATTTTTTTAATCACTTGTTGATCATACCTTGGAAGTAGGCATAAAGTTATACAAAACTTATTTGCCCCTCGGTGTCCGTTAGTGGGTTACTGTTGAATTTGGCGTTGTGCAGTTACGGATGAACATGGACAGTTGAATAGTTCATCATGATTAAACTTGTCCTTCTTCAGTGACCAGTACTTGTCAAGATTTTATTTGAAAGAATTGAGTGATGGACTTTCTGCTACATATGAATGGCAACTGCACAGAACAAAGGTTCTGCACATATTCAGTTAGCTCTTTGTTGTAATATACATAAATGTAAAGCTAAGTACACTTTATGTTCCTTTGTAATGAAATAAACAGGTGGTTCATCTATAATCATTGTTTATCTAGACTCCATTACATGTATTATAACTTCCTGTTAATAGTTTTGAAAACTGTCAGTTAAATGTTTTGACTCAGCTTTACTTGTCCCTTAACAACAAGCAAAAAGGAGCTGGCAACTCAGGTGTAAACATTTTTTAAGTCACCTTTGTTAATTATCGCAAAAACTTGTCCGTGTTCCTTTCATTAGCAAAATCACATGTATCAAATTTCAGCTTATACAATATTTTGTACGAGATGGATACCTCAAGACAGGATCGAGGATTGATTGTCATCTGTTTGTCTATTTTGTATTTGTTAACTATCAGGTGATCTGGGTCATGTGACTTCAATCTCCAATCCCAAGGTAGAGGAAGGTGATGTCAGGTTCTTACCGGTAGAGATCTTACAAGAGGTACGTTCAAAAGATGCTTTTCATTCTCATATTACCATGGTAATAATACTAGGTATAATGATAGTAATGTAGGTCCAACAAACTCTTTTCATTTTAACAATATGACCTGTGTTAATAATAATGATATACTGTTTTGACGTGCATTTCAGTGCTGTAACGTCTCTATACACATTAAAATTGCTTAAGCGTGGGTATATAGAGGGCAACACACAAACGTACGCACAGGAGCATAGTACAGTACATAGTACAGCATAGCTCAGTGTGATTGGGAGTGATCGACAAGTTGCCTACTTCACGAACGACTATATACCCACGCATGAACATCTTAAAGAGAATATTAAGTTCAGGTTGTGCAGTTTCACTGTGAAAGGAATTGTCCAGATGTTATTCTGCATGGTTATGAGTGTCACATGAGAATTAAGAATGATGTTACCCTGAATAGGGTGAGTTTTTCCTTTGGTGTTTGTATTTCAGTTACACCATGAATAAAGCCTCTTTGAGCCGAGACCTAAAACCAGTAAGATTAATTGTCGTTTTTCCGTGACAATTTATGGCGACCTTGCCAGGACCAAAGTTTTAGGTCTCGTATGTTATATCCCATTTTGTTGGTTAAATATCCGTTACACTGTACGTGTAGGTTGTATTGGAAAAGAGAGACGGATGTTAGCAAAAGGAGTGATTTTGCGGTTCGGTGTGGTGTGTCTCTCGCCACGGTTTCAGCAGTGCGTGTATCGTCAATAGACGTACAGTATTTGCGGTGGGTGATTTGCGTCCGTATACGGGATCGTGTGTAGATTGTTATTCAGATTTCAGGTATGCGTGTTATGTGCATGGGTGTCCGTAGGCATTGTTTATTGCAGCGGTGTATACAGGTTTGTGTGCGAGGGCTGTACTGGGTTTCAATGACCTGAATTGGACATGGTATTGGATTTAGCTGTGTGTGAGCATGAGTTAATCCAGGTTGGATGCACAGGGATACTTGTTGTCATACTTTGACTTTGAGACGGGTCTTGATATTGCATGTCTATGTTAATTAAGACAAATGGTGGATAGTTTTTCACGGGTTCTTGTCTTGGGAATTAAGCTAGACCTCTACAACAAGAGTCTTGATGGTTGTCAATGTTTTCTTGAATAGATTCTACGGGGATTGTTCCGTACCTGTTGATACCCAGTTGTGATTTCGAATACAGTTTCATAATGGCCAGTATAGATCAGATAAAAGAGTTCTCAACCCTAGGTCGGGAGATGAGCCTTGCGGGTAGTGAGCTTAACAAGTTCGTTTCCGAGCGCTGCGCCGAAGTGTTAAGAGTAAAAGAGCTAGAATGTGATCGCGAAGAGCGCGAAAAGGAAGTGAAGCTAGCCGAGCTTCGGGTCGAGGAGAGAAAGAATGCCGGTGTTGATACGGGTGGTTTGAGGTTGAAAATTGGTAAATTTGATGACACATGTGATAAATTTGATGCATACATTACCAAATTCGAATTAGTCATGGCTAGTCAAAAGGTACCTGACAGTGTAAGAGCCTTACACCTTATTTCTAAATTGACAGGGCAGGCTTTGGAGGTAGTGAATAGAATGTCAAGGGAAACTCGCAATGATTACGAGGCAGTAAAGCGAGAGTTGATGGAGTTCTATCATTTGACCGCCGATGGTTATAGGAGGAAAATTTCGTACGGCGAAGCCAGAAAAGCATGAACAGCCTAGGCAATTCAGTGTACGATTGAAGGGGTACTTGCAGAATTGGATTGAGTTATCAAACATTGAAGAGGATTATGACTCCCTGTTTGATTTAATTCTAAGAGAACAGTTTGTGTATTGTTGCCCAAGGGAAGTTGAAGTGTTTGTTAGAGAGGGGCAGGATAGTAGCATTGATAAGGTTGTTGAAAGGGCTATGGTTTACGTAGGGGCCCATGGATTACATACATTCGGTACACCCCGCAATCCAGGTGAATTCAAACCGACGGCTACAAGTACACAGGGTAGTGTCGGTCCCACTCGGCCAAGTGTCCCCAAGGGTAAGGGTTTTGACTCGCGTACACCAAGTAGTAAGGGTGCAAGAGCACATGATGCAGGCAATCGTTCTGCTAGAGGTTGTTATATGTGTGGTAGCCAGGGGCACTTTAAGAACGAATGTCCATTGCGCAAACAGATACATTCAGCACAAGGAATGATGACTTTGGATGGGACAGATTTCCCCACCCAAGGAGTAGACGGTAATGGCAGTTCTCAGTTAGTCGCGAATGGTGTTGAGGATACAGGAGATAGTATCGGCACATTGAAGTCTGTGGATAGTTCACCACATGCAAATATAGTGCATCTTGGACTAGCTAGTATCTGTTTACTACCAGTAGAAGCAAATGGATTAAATTCATTAGAGCAGGCAAGACAAAGCATTGTGAATAAGTTAGGCATGGCTTATGATCTGGTAGGGGCTATGACGAAGCATATGCCCGTAGTTTCAGGTAGGCTGGAAAAAGGGAACAAAGCAGTATCAGTTTTGAGAGATTGCGGATGCACTACTTGTGTAGTTAAATCAGAACTAGTCGATGAAGATCAGCTAACAGGGTACAAGCAGTTAGTATTGCTCATTGATGGTACAGTAAGGGAGTTCTCAGTTGCGAAGCTCACAGTTGATTCTCCATACTATGTGGGTGAGATAGAGGCTTTGTGTATGCCTCATTCACTATTTGATGTTGTTATTGGGGATATAACTGGTGCACGTGAACCCCGCGATCCAGATTTGAACTGGGTACCTAAAGGAGGTAAAGTAGTAAGTGACGTTGCAGATCAGGTGAATAGTGATGGTGAGAATACCATTGGTGATGTCAAGCAGGATATTGAAGGGCAGGTGGTTGATAGAGTTGATCGAGTTGAGCAGGTTGCAAATATCTCTGGTGTGAAAGAGGATATTCCAGGGGTGATGGCAGTTGAAACTCGATCTCAGAAGGAGGTCAAGGTCAAATCGATCAAGGGTTTGAAAATTGGAACTCCCGTTTCCTGCATAGAGCCTGCAGGTTCTGTTCATGAACAGAAGGAAGATCCATCTTTGAGTTCATTGTGGAACAAAGTAGGTAGAGAGGAGGTTAACTTGCCAATGGCTGGCTGTTGTTATATAAGCAAAGAGAGTAGCGAGGTTTGTGAGGATTCAGCGGAAGATGTTGAGGTTCAGATTAGTGATGTTGATGGCGCTGACGTGACAGTGATGCCACCCATACATGAGAAGGAATTCATAGGGCATGTGAGGGTGAATGAGTCCGTGGAAGAGAGACGTAGGAAAGGGATATCTCAGTCATTGCGTGAGTATCATGAGGTCTTTTCTGATGTACCATAGAAGACATCAGCCGCAAAGTGCCAATTGTTCAGGCATCTGACTAAGAATCATGAGATGAGTACAGGTTTAGGATGTAAAGGGTCAGGATAGTGTTGCAGCAAATGGTATGAGGAATGTGTAAAATGCACTACACATGTTTTTATTTTGGTCTGCGTACCATTGTAAATGATTGAATATGTGTATTATGTATCATGGGTTAACACAGTTTATTAATGTCAATTTTGTTGGATACACATTGCATTTAATAAGATTATGTGATATCTACGATGTCAGCACGAGATAGCAAGAGCTTTGTAGACATCATTTGTTTATTTTCTCGTAATTTTTCGAGCATAGTTCATGTATAGGGAGCTTGGAAAGAAATGTAACAAACGATTTAGTACCATAAAATCTTGTCTGTTTAAATGGCAGCATTTGTTTTATATTGATTTTGCAAGCTACAAATGTGTACCCATCAAACTGTATATGATAGTGCATACAAATTATCCCGAGCATATGTTTTGTGGAGATGCATGAAATGCATTACTGAAGGTTGATATTAAGAAGAAAATATTACAGCAGTATTACATGTATTTTAGTTTACGCAAATGCAGGAATGTTACTCACTGCATTTTGAACCATGCCAATGTATTTTTTGAACGATGTCTATGTATGATACTCGTTATGAACTTTAGTGTTGGAGCTATATCATTGTGGAAATTATAACAGATTTAGATGTGAGTTTTGCCATAATTAGCTTTGGACTTCTGTTGGTGGTCATCTTTAAAAGTCTTCAGGTATCACAAAGATTGGACTCAAACGACAAACAATGACCGAGATGATGTCCCATTACGAACAATACTCCTTGAGACTATGGTTTTAGCATACACGTTTACTCACAACTTGGACTGATACATTGGATCACAGAAAGAAACTGATGATACTTATTGGAAAGCTTTAATGACAATGTAATGATTTATGTGCAGTAAACATTGAAAAGTTTGATTTTCAAATTTTCATGAGATATGTATTTGCCAATAATTCTAGGTTTTGTGTACAATATTTATTGTAAACATGCTATAGTAAGTACATTTGGAATGAGATGTTCAGTAAACATTGAAACAGTTTGCTTTAAAAATTCCATGAGATATGTAATTGCCAATAATTCTATGATTTGTGTAGAAATTTTACTTTAGTAAATTGTTCTTAAAATGGGGGGCTAATTGTCACATGAGAATTAAGAATGATGTTACCCTGAATAGGGTGAGTTTTTCCTTTGGTGTTTGTATTTCAGTTACACCATGAATAAAGCCTCTTTGAGCCGAGACCTAAAACCAGTAAGATTAATTGTCGTTTTTCCGTGACAATGAGGAATGATTACAAACACCTGTATTTGCTGTCATATCTGTTAAGACCTATAGCTAGTTGATAAGAGATAGTCACAACAGAGGAAATTCCCGATTGGTCAGTCATTTCGTGCTGACTATAGGTAACTATTTGGAGCTCAATGATTTTCAACCAATGACTGATATGCTATCCCCTAACCCATTGTTCTATTACAGGAACACAATCGCCTAACATAAGGGGACATCTTTGCACGTTTATCGGGGCTTGCCACTAGATATGTACATATCGTACCCCACTATCGAACCCCACTATTCACAATAAAGGCCTTGTCTCTTCGCAGCTGCTCAGCGCTATTTCTCCGAACCGGAAACTAGCCTGGGATCTCTCAGAAACTTGATTCTGGCTGTATGTCACATTCAAAACACACCTTTTCGCGTCTTTAGATATGCCCATATCTAAAGCCCTTTAAAAAAGGCTTTGCGTTTATCACCTTCTAAATTTGCCTGAAAGACGTTTGAGAAACCTGATTCTAGCCAAAAATTTGGTCGATAAACGCAACCTAAGAGCAATAGGTCCCAACGGTTGCATACCTACATGCACTTATATTTACTTTCTTAGAATATGAATCGTCAACTGAAATGAGTGCAAAAACAAATCAAACCAGTTCTGATTCATTCTTTTTTATCTTGCAGGAACATGCACACCTAACCAAAGCAGACATTGGCTGCATACCTACAAGCACTTATATTTACTTTCTTAGAATATTAATTGTCAAATGAAATCAATTCAATTCTGATTCATTCTTTTTTATCTCACAGGAACACGGCCATCTGACCAAAGCAGACATCTTTGCCCTAGCCCTGACGGCTTACCTGGCGGCCGGCGGTGAATCCTTGCCTAAGAACGGAGATGATTGGCATAGAATAAGACAGGGTCATTTTCCTCCGCTACCACACATCTCAACTGACCTGGTAGATCTATTACAGGTACGTTCATCATTCCTTTTCTCTTTTAATTAATTTGTTTTCACATCTCGTTAAATATTGTTGAGGGGGGGGGGGGGGTGGAGAAGTGCAGATTCTTTTGACTCCCAGACTTCCTAAAAGATCGGAAATTTTCAAAATAAAAAACGTCAGAGAATTCGAGGAAAGTTATTAAAATCAGTGATTGTGCCTCTAGGGTTGTTCACATATACCATTGTAAACTGTTTTCCATGCAATATGTGAATGAGCCTATAACAGCAGCAAATGTTCTTATTATATCAATGTATCTCTTTCTCTTCAATTAGACTATGATCGACCCAGACCCATCACAGCGCCCCTCTGCATCGGCCTTAGTCCAACACCCTTTACTATGTCCTAACAGCAAACGATCCTTCACCCAACTCAAGAGGGAGCTAAACGTCGCTAAGTTCCAGAATGCAATCCTCTCCAGGTAAGATGAAAAACAAACAAACAAAGGCTAAGATCGACTTTAAGATGGACTTAACTATGGTAGGCCATTCATGCCACTTGTTCCTTTAACCATTCCTGGCATTGGTTTCTCAAGGGACATTTAAATCATGGTCACAAATCTACAGATTTTACATTTATTGATAGTTCATTATTGAAGGAAAAAATATTATCTAAAGATCATAATTGAGAGACAAATGGCGCGAGCAACCAGTGGCATGGGATGCCTGTCATAGTTAAGTCCAAATTGAAGTCGATCTTAGTCTTTGCGAAACACCCCCAGAGCAAAGGTTCAAGAATATTTGAAAAAGAAAAATTTGGAGTTGTCAAATCTCCCAAACTCATTGTTTTTCTTTCTATTCATGGAGAGTAAGAACAAACAGGGCATCTTTTCAAGAAACCGTCAAAAGTTCACCAAGCTAAAGTAAAATAAAGTTTAACAAGCGTTCTAATGGGATGTCAGTAACTTATGATGGTTTCATGAAACGATCCCCTGGTTGCTATCTTGAATTTTTAATTCAAGGCAAGTCTGAAAGGTTTTTAAGGCCAGAAAAAATCACTCATTTTAAACCCTTAGAGGCACACTGTCCTACTTGTAGCTACTTGCTCCCTCTATATAGAAAACTTCCCCAATCGGTGCCTGTTGGTCCCCCATGATCCTCTTTTTATTATGTTAAATGAGAGCTGAGTTAATGAGATAGCCACCTGTCACAGTGACCTCGCTGGCACGCTGGGTGGTCTAATCCCTTCTAGCTGAAGTAGTAAAGCCTGCCTTTAATGCAATGCCAGCTTTAATACTTCATGACTTCATATCTCAGAATCATAATGCAGAGATGCCATTCCTAAAAATGTGTTTATTTGATATGTCACTCCACACACATTTAATGCGATAAAAAACCTCCCTGATTTCTGAATGAATCTTACCTGAATTGAAAGCTGAATGTTAAAGAGAAGGTTGAGTTCTGGGAGGAGGTGAAAATAATTTCTGAGCGTTATCATTGTTATTATGCAAGTGTGGAAGAACATCAAATGAAACATGTTCCCTGAAATGCATGGCTCTTCAAATGCCTTCATATTCCAAATATGTCATGTAACATCATAAATATTGGGACAGATTTTTACGCCACAAGTTCGTGTAGTCCCATATACATCTTTCTGTGTACAGTGTTTGTAACTTTACCAAGACTTGGCCAAATTTCTTATCATTCTGATGATTCCAGAACCTTGCAATACACACAAATACTTATATGCTAGATGATCAACCTTTTCTGGTCGGTTCCACACCGTTTCTTTCACAATGCAATCGCATGACCAGAACTCAAGTTTATCTTTAAGGTTGGCATATCTGATAATGATAATGTGATGTCATCTAGCAATGAATGCCACTTTTCACACCTTTTTGTTCTAATTTCAGACTGTAACACCTCTTTTGTTCTTTTGTTTTTCACCAGAGAGCTGAACGAGGCCCGTAAGAGCACCATGAACCCTCCTCCCAAGTCAAGGTCAAACGCAGGTCGACTCATCGGCAAGAAGGTCAATCGAAGTATGAGCCTTACCATCTATTGAAGACTGTGATCCCCTTACAGATTCATTTAAACAAACAATAAACTACCCCCTCCAAAGGAAAGCTGATAATGATTAAATCCATGTGATATTACCACATACAGTCACATTTATATCATAGCAACAGGAAACCTAAGTCGAGACTTATACACCCATTAATGGTGTTTCCACCAAGTCTGGTAAGAAGGTCAACCGAAGTATGAGCCTTACCATCTATTGAAGACTGTGATCCCCTTACAGGTTCAGTTAGACATACAATAAACTTGCTTTGTAAATGAATTGCAAGAGGAATTATTTTGGGTGTAGAAACAAGATATTTCTGCCTGACATGGTATTTTATCTTGAAGAACCAGTATGTTTACTTATGGCAACAGTTTTTAATAATTTTTTACAATCGATAAACTTAGGGTGAATGCTTATTTCGTGTAAATAAAATTGCTCTATGTGTTTGGTTCGCTATCTAGCAAGAAACAAAGTTATGAAGTAAACTCTGCATTTATCTAAGTATCTAAGTTGTCTTCATGGCGAGTCCATTACATTTTCAAAGTTTTTTCTAGGCAACTTTTATTAAGATCATACAACACATCTTGCCTCTACTATTGCTCTGTTGTCAATTTTTTAATCAAATTCTATTCCAAAGTGCAACCTTGGACCAAATATACTTAACTCGCACACAAATTTAACCTAAAACCCTATCGCAACCATAAACTTCAAGCAGCAAATGTTGCGAAAGCATTTTTCAGATGCCTGTTCTTACAAATTTTTGACAAATTTTCTTATGGTAGTTGGTCAGATTTTATCTCTTTGGTTTTACTTTTGAAATCATTGTCTTCTGTTTTGTACAGTTATTGATGTTTAAATGTGCCATGTTACTTTTAGAGTATGGAAAGAAATTATTTTAAATTGTGTTTTCGAAGCATTGAATTTCTAGTCAAAAAGAAAATACTTAGTGTTTTAAAGAGTGAAGTAAGTTCTGGTGAAGGTGAACAAATAATTTGAAAAAGTTCTCTCATTGTTACATGTGAAGGAATTCTTTTGAAAATACATCACATTCCAAGTGAATTTACTCAATTTAGAAAAAGTTCTGATGCCACATGTTTCTATAGTGTATTCCCACACAATACTGTGCCTTTCACTATATGTGATATTCAATATGCTAGACCCCCAAAACTCTTATCATTTTGATGATTCCAAAACTTCACAGTACACACTGATTCTTATGACCTAAGTATTCAACCTTTTTTTCAATGATTGGATGGACAGTTTCATTTACAATTATCAGTATTACAATTTTTAAAATGTTCTCTGAATGGAAATTCAGAGATTAATATGAAGCAGTTGTTTCGCCTTTTCCTTTCATGGAATTCCCTTAAATACTTCCTTTAATGTGTGATTTAGTGATGAGATGAAGTGGGGGTACATTTATTATTCTATATTCATCAGTATTCAACCATCTATTCCCTGGCTGTGGCAGTCTGCTTTCTATTTTAGAGGTCAATTTTGTGATAGATCACAACAGGGATAGTTAGGATTTAGCAAGGCTTTATTTATTCCTTTATTTTGTTTATGTTGGTATGTGTTTATATGTCTATGAGCCAGGTATATCAAGTGTAAATGTTTTGCTTGATTAACTCGTTCTTCATTTCATGTAATATTTACCTGTTTAAGATTTTATGTACCTTATGATTATGTTGAAAAGACCCATACATTTGTATCACTTTCTCTTTTTATTATGATATTGTGGAGATGTATTTATGAACTCCAATCCGTATAAATGATTTTAAATTTGTATTCTGTGGTAAAACTCTTGTATTCCATCAAAACTACTCTGAAATCTGAAACTTTTTCAAGTATTTTGACAGCTTATTTTTCATCATGGCTTTTGAGGTTTCTTCCTCATGAGGGCATTGGTTTTATGGTTATGTATCACAAGATTTGAAGCTGTTCAATTTTAAAGTCACTTTTTATCCTCTAATTTTGTCAAAACATATACTTGCACCTCTACCGCAACATGTTAAGTCTCAGTATTTTAAAGTAGTATTATTTTATATGTTTATCGTAGTTATCTGAATCAGCTAAGTATATCTGATCACATGAAAATGAATATCTTCCACTATGTTTAAATCTTAGTGTTTAGTTTATTTTACAAATGCATTTGTTCTCTTTTTGAGATGTATATATTATACTATAAATCAGTACTTTACTTTACTAGCAGATACTAATGTATATAGCCTTCCACAATGCTTGTAAATACCGGTAGGTCAGTACTTTTGTCATTGTTACATGTACATGTATGTCGAGTCTTGTTTGACTTGAAATACAGATATATTTGATATTATTTGGGCATTTTTTTTCTCCTTCTCATTCTTTTCTAATTTAACATGAGCTGCATTGGGTGTTTCTAAGTGGGGCATCTTGCAATGTATCTCTGTTTGTTTTGGAGTTGATATTAAAATAATTCCGATATGATGTCTTCCTCCTTCACGGTCTCTCTGACCAATCAGAGAGCTTCGCTTTGTATAAGATTACACAACGTATGTGTAAAATAAACATTAATGTCTTCCTATGTAAACTCTACATGCCTAAGATTATGTTCAGGCACAGTCAAACCTGCTTCAGCGACCACCTGGCTACAAAGACCACTGTTCTTGTCTTCTTTAAGTGGTCTTAAAGACAGGGTTGACTTTATACTGATTTTGTAAGATTATTTTTTGCTTAAAATCTTGTTTCTTGGTGTATAATCAAAGTATTGTCACATTTTTGTGCCAGTAAGTCTTCATTTGTACAATTCATTTCTACAATTCCATAATGGTAGAATTTTTATTGCCTTTTTATGTATTAAGTGGAAGAGATGATTTTATTTCTTGTCCAATTGTGCCTTATTTTCATCCATCGTGCCTTATTCTCATCCATCGTGCCTTATTCTCTTTATTTGAAACCAACTTGATTGGGTGATTGATGAAATCAGGGGGTGCTTCACAAAACTTGTCATCAATGACAAGTGACAGTTTTTGTTATAAGCTAGTGAAATCTTTGCATCTGATTGATTATCAGCAGATTTGTCACCGGTTTTTTGTAATTTGTCATTGAAAAAGGCTTTGTGAAACAGCCCCAGGAGTATGTATATATCTTGATTATATGACAATGCAATGCACAATAAAGTGAGCAGAAATTAAAAAAACGAAATCTACCTGTTATTTAGTTCTTTGTTTGCCCTCTTACAGATTATAAAGCTAATGTCGAGTAAAGGTGAATCATTGCCCAAATTATATATCAATTTTTAAGTTTGTAAAATTTGCAAGTGAGCAAAACTTTGACACTGTCCATTGTGAAAATATTTGTTAATACATTTTTTGGGGGGATGGGGGTGTTATGGGGGTTGCAGCCTCTGCCTCATTTACCTATAATCTTGGTTTCTAGTAAATAAAATCTTGTGAATTTCAACAGAAACAGTCTAAAAATCCTCTTAACATGGAATGGGCTGTTAAAGGCATCGTTTAATAATGTTAAATCTGAGATGCACGGCCCTAGGTGTTATCAGTGCCTGCAATATTGAAGCCCTAAACAATTGCGCCTCAAAAAGTAAAAATCTTTGAGGAACCGGTTTAATCATACTCGTTTTCCCAAATAGACTGGAGTGTTATGAAAACTGTTTGGAAAACGCAAAATTTGATGTCGATTTGCAACCACAAATATCTTGATAATCTGACAGGTGATCGGCTTGTAAAAGTCATGGGAATCCTGACTGACCTAAAGGTTTATAATTATCATTGCAGTATGAGCTAAATCCAGGATATTGTTTCAGAATCTGAGACTGTCACGTGAGAGACTTTTTTTTATTTTTTATTATTGCTACGGACACACAAAATAAAGGGAAATAGAGCTTGTTAATTAAAGTTAAATTGTAATGTTTAATTTCCAATCATTTCTCCTGTTTCACAGACTTTGTTTTGGCTTCAATAATAATACAGTATGTAAATAAACTTATCTTTAACAAAAATAATTCTGGATGGGTAGTTTCCCGTCTGACATCGACGCCGGTCACAGCTCGTGTTGTCCACTTGGCCCTGGCCTCCGCAGACGGTGTCTTTGTTCCACTTGGCCCCGGTAGTCGCTCCGGATTCTTGGCCTCCGCAGACTGAGATACGATGGTGTGTGTCCCGATCCCAGACAAGAGCTAGCCCCCCGACGAAAGATATGGAGAACCGGGTGGCAGTTGAGCTAGCCTCTCGTCCCGACGTGGAATTACCCTCAGATATTGACTTTAACTGCCGACTAACATGACGTTTAGTCTATTATAGCTTAGGTGGTTCTCCATATCTTTCGTCGGGGGGCTAGCTCTTGTCTGGGATCGGGACACACACCATCGTATCTCAGTCTGCGGAGGCCAAGAATCCGGAGCGACTACCGGGGCCAAGTGGAACAAAGACACCGTCTGCGGAGGCCAGGGCCAAGTGGACAACACGAGCTGTGACCGGCGTCGATGTCAGACGGGAAACTACCCATCCAGAATTATTTTTGTTAAAGATAAGTTTATTTACATACTGTATTATTATTGAAGCCAAAACAAAGTCTGTGAAACAGGAGAAATGATTGGAAATTAAACATTACAATTTAACTTTAATTAACAAGCTCTATTTCCCTTTATTTTGTGTGTCCGTAGCAATAATAAAAAATAAAAAAAAGTCTCTCACGTGACAATTTGGAGGTCCCACCGAGACCTTGCTACTGATAAATAATTTCAAAAAAAAAAAAGGGAATTAGATATTTCTCCCCCTCTTTTCCCCGCATACGAATTTGAGGTGTAATTGATGTTTGGGGTTGAAATACAGGTTAAAAGAAATTATCAATGCTAGGTTGATAAAAGCAATAATGTCAAGAGTTTAGTGGATTCTCCCCAAGGTTAAGCCCTTGGTAACGCCTATAGACTAGGGTAGTGCTTAGGCGGGTTTTGCATTATGCATGGTATTTTGCTCGGATTACAGATTCCAGGTTTGAATTACTATAGGCTTTGAATGTTCATGTTGTGAAGTTGACCGGTGTTTCGCATGGTTGGATTTTTTGTTCTCGTTAGGAGAAATTCTAGTGTGCTTGTTAGAAGGCACTAGGGGTTGATTGCCTGGTGTGAAGCGGACCGGTGTTTCGCATGGTTGAATTAATTGTATGCTCATTGGGAGATACATTCTAGTGTGCTTGTTAGAAGGCACTAGGGGTTGGCATTTGTTGCCGGTGTTAAAGCCTAGGTTTTTGTAGTTTTGGAATCGATGTTTAGTCGCTATGGCTAGTACCGAGCAAATGAAAGAGTTTTCTACTTTAGGTAGGGAAATGGGTCTTAGTGGAGGCGAGTTGAGTAGTTTCGTTTCTGAACGCTGTCAGGCGGTAGAAAGAGAAAGAGAGCGTGAACATGAGCTCAAGTTAGCGCAGTTGCGTAAGGATGAAGGAAATAATGTAGCTCAGTTAGGTCGGGTTAAACTCGTTGTCGGTCAATTTGATGATGCCCACGATAAATTTGATGCTTACATTACCAAGTTTGAAATGATCCTGAAAAGTCAAAAAATCCCTAATGACGTGTGGGTACTACATCTAATCTCTAATTTGAAAGGGAAGGCTTTAGATGTAGTAAATAGAATGAGTACAGATGATCGCCAGAAATATACCGTAGTTAAGAGTGAGTTAATGCAATCTTATAATCTCACTGAGGAGGGGTATAGGCGTAGTTTCAGATCTGTTAGGCCTTTGAATTCAGAACGCCCAAAACAGTTTGCTAATCGGATGAAAGGTCATTTTGATAATTGGATAGGTGCGTCTAAGATAGACAATAGTAGGGCTGCTCTTGAGGATCTAATGTTGCGAGAGCAATTTTTGATTGATTGTCCAAGAGAGGTTGCTAGGTTCATCAGGGAACGGAAATGCACGAAGTTTGACGAGGCAGTGGAGTGTGCAGAGGTTTATGTTGGTGCACACGGACCTCATGTTTTCTTTGGTGGAGAGAAATCCGAAAGAAGCCGATCAGATCCGAAGGGGGGTAGTAAGGGCCCTAATCAAATAGGTAAGAGTAATGCAAAATTGGGCGAGGTTCAAGCTAGGGCAAAGAAAGTGGAAGGTAGTAAGCCCTTCCAAAAGAAGGGGTGTTATATGTGTGGGAATCCCAATCACATGAAGAGGGAGTGTCCCCTGTTGTTAAAGTCTATGGCGGCTCATGGTATGATGTTGTTAGGGGGTGATGAAGTCCCCGGGGTATATGCTGTTCATAATAAGCCTAATGAGGGCGAGATTGAATCTGATGCCGTAGAGTTGACAGCAGCTTGCATTGCCGAGTCGGTGGTCGATAGTGAAGTCATTGAAAAAGTTGGAATGGCTTACGATGATATTGAGGCGATGGTCAATGATATGCCTGTCGTGTCTGGGAGGTTGATGCCTGGGAATGTTCCCGTTTCCGTGCTACGTGATTCAGGTTGTAGTACTTGTGTTGTGAAAGAAGCGTTAGTTAGGAAAGAGCAATTCACAGGTCGTCATGTTAGAGTCAGGTTAATTGATGAAACGATAAGGCGTTTCCCCTTGGCAAGAATCGTTGTCGATTCGCCTTATTTCGAAGGAGAGGTTGTGGCAGTGTGTATGCCTAGATGTTTGAATGACGTAATCATTGGTAATGTGAGAGGGGCTCGTCCACCAAAAGAGCCTAATTTCCATTGGGTTCCTAAGGCTGACATAGAGGTCACGCCGGAGGTCGTGCCGGAGGTCACTGGTTTGGAAGATTCGAAGTTGGAGAGAGAATTTTCAGATGAGTTGAAGTCTACCGCTGAGGGCGTTTGTTCTGATGAGGGCGGTATTAGATTACAAGCTGTTCAGACTAGGGCAAAGAAGTTGAGAGATTCCAAGCCTAGTAAGGGTTTGCCGGTGGCTGACCCAGTTGCTAATATTCAGTCAAATCACTTTCTGCAAGAGCAAAAAGATGACGTATCATTGCGCCCTCTGTGGCAAAAGGTTGATAATGTTGACAAGTCGCAATTCATGTTTTTGCGTGAGCAAGGTTTTCTCTTTAGGCAGAGAAAGGATGTCAATGCTAAGGGTATAGGTCCTAAATTACTTGTAGTGCCTAAGCCTCGTAGGGAAGAGCTAATGCGAGTTGCACACGATTCTCTTTTAGGTGGACATATGGGTATTAATAATACTCTGTCAAAACTCAAGGCGCAGTTTTATTGGCCTGGGATGTCGGAAGATGTAGCCAATTTCTGCAGATCATGTGATGTCTGTCAAAAGACTGTTGATAAAGGGCGGGTGCCGAAGGCTAGTCTTGGTCGAATACCCCTTATTGGTGTTCCATTTCAGCGGATTGCTATTGATCTTATGGGTCCATTCATACCTTCTGCCCGTAAGCATACCCACATATTAACCATAGTGGATTATGCTACAAGGTATGTCGAGGCGATCCCGTTGAAGTCTATATCGACTGTCGATGTGGCTGAGGCCCTTGTTTCGGTCTATAGTAGAGTTGGTATTCCAGCAGAGGTCATGTCGGACTTGGGTACGCAGTTCGTATCGGATTTGATGCGTGAAGTTTGTAGATTGTTGTCGGTCAAACAATTGACCAGTTCTCGGTACCATCCCATGTGTAACGGGTTAGTCGAGCGTTACAATGCGGTTGTGAAATCGACTTTGAAACGGTTATGCTCCGAGGAACCAGCTCAATGGGATAGGTATCTCCCGGCTTTGCTGTTTGCTTTACGAGAAGCACCGAGCTCGAGTTTGGGGTTTTCCCCGTTTGAACTTCTGTATGGGCGGCATATCCGTGGGCCATTGAATGTCCTGAGAGAGTTATGGACGGCCGAGAAGTTAGAACCAGAGCTCAAGAGTGAATATGAATATGTAATTGAGTTGAGGGAGAGGTTGGTGAAATCTTGGCGAATTGCGCAAGAGACCCTTAAGTGTTCAGCAAAAAGGTACAAGGGGTACTATGATCGTAGGGCTAGAACAAGAAAGTTTAATGTAGGCGATGATGTGCTCATTCTACTTCCTACTGAGCACAATAAATTACTGATTAGGTGGCAGGGTCCCTACAAAATCATAGGAGTCAAATTTGACTACGATTATGTCGTAGATGTTCGTGGCATTGCTAAGACGTATCATATCAACTTGTTGAAGCAATACTATAGTAGACCCGTGAATGCCCCAGTAGGTGCTTGCTT